AATACTAGGGGGCTCCGCCCCCTGCTCGCTACGCTCGCCAACCCCCAGAACTGCTTCGCAGTTCCATTGCATATTGCTTCGCAATCTTATAAAAACATTTTAACAAATTTAAATTTTAAAATAAAAATGCCAGATATTGAAATCAATTACTTAATGAAATTTATACACTTCTCTGCCCCCTTCACAATTTGATTATCTTTTCTTCATGTAGCTGAGAAATTTGGAGCTGTAGCAGAGAATATATCTCAATAAGAAATGCTTTCCCGTTTAGAATTCCGCCATTCATTTCTCTGACGTCTGCCAGAGATATTTCGACGCCTGATAGCAGGCATTTTATTTAGGCAGCAGGCACTAAATAAATAAAAATAGAACTAAATAACTAAGATATCGTTTTAAATCTCAAATCAAAATAATTGTTTGTAGAAAGTTTGTTTTGGTTTGAATATTCGCACGTTTGTTTTGGTTTGAATATTCGCACGATGCCATTGCCATTCTATTGTAACGAAACAAAAAATTTATCATGAAACTAAAAATTTATCAAAGGAACTAAAGATATTGAATTCTTTTTTTAAGAAATTCAGTTCCGTTTTTTTTATCCACTCTTATTTTTGTTTATCAATCTATTAATTCAGAAATGCTTTAAATCAAACGATGCTTACGGAAACAATGCTTATGCGAACCACCCGAAAAATGATTTGCTGAATTCTCATTGGTTGAAACTAAATTATTAATTTTATTAATTAATTAAAGGAAATTTTCATAATTTAAGACCTTATTGCACATCTACATAACAATACCTTTAAAACGACACCTTATTTGTTTAATTCTGTTGCGTAGTTTGGGAGTTTTTAGCGAGACAAAATATTGCTAGCCTATTAATATATAGATATAAGGTATTTAAACTATTTATTTGGTAATTTTTTCCGTTCATATGGTAATGGTTGACGGGAAACTCTGGTTTTCAAAACTATAGTTTTTATTGCCACACATTTAGTAAAAAATTGCAAAACTGAAGAGAAAATGAAAATTTTACCGAACAAATGTTTTTTATATTGTGAAAAAATTACCTAATTTTACCAGATTTACCTACTTTTATAACATATTAACAAACCATTTTATTGTTAATATTACCAAATTCATTACCAAAGTGCTTCGGTAAAAATTACCGAGATGCTTGGTGTTCCCATAGAGCCAGAAATACGATACATTTTACCACATTCTGGTAGTTTTGAACATACTTTTTTTCTCGGAATGGAAAACTTTATTGTGAAAAATGTGTTTAAAAACTTGCGCTTAGCAATCTAAACATACCGGGTCTTAAAATTAACAATGCATTAAAAATTTATTTTGCATGTTTAAAATCTATAATAACTAAATATTTCATAAAAAAATTATTATAATAAGTAAAAAGAACAAGCATTAATATAAAAGAAGAGGTACTTACGAACAAATATGTTTCCTAGTAAGGTAGCTGGCAAGCAGAATAAAAGAACTAATATGTCCGCACAAGCCAGGTTCACTATAAAATAATTAGTAACGGTTCTCATTCTTGGCGATCTCATCACCACGGCGACAACAAAACTATTTCCAAGAATGCCAAGCATAAACACCAAGAAATATCCCACGCAGAAAACGGCAGTTATACCCGGTGAGTGACGGTACCAATTCACCATTGAACTTTCATCTCCAAAGTTTGAAGTGTTGTATTCAGATGTCAGATTCAGTTCTGAATCGTCTATAGCAGATATGGAAGAGTCAAGATTTTCCTTCGGAGACGGTGATGTATAGGGAATATGTGCCATGGATGCTAAACCAGCGATAAGTTCTTCCGCCGAAAAATCTATCTCGAGCATAATGAGTTGGAAACTGAACAGTTAATCGCAAAACTGTTTTCTGTTAGGTGCCAAAGTCAACACATCATAAGGTTAAAATTTAGGAAATAAAAAGTTCTCTTAAAATTTAGTTACTAAATTGTAGCTGCCTTGTTTACCAACAATGTTAAGGCTACATTTCTAAATTTTAAGTTGATGTAATTAACATAAATCTGTGCAATCGTTATTCATGTAGCTTAATTTTTATTTGACTGAAATAGTTATGATTCACTTACATTCGCTTTGATGACTACTTAATGTTTCTTACTATTCACTTCTTAAACTACTTTCACAGTCATTTTTAGACGGTTCAAATCTTCTAGTCTTTCTAGAATTCGATTATTACTCATTCATGATTCGCTTACATGTTTATAACTAAAAATATTGTTTCTAGCTTTTTAATGATATTCACATATTGTAATCTCTTTTTGATTTTGTAGCACACTTGATATTGAATAGTCGTTGTTTCCCAAACTTAATTAACTAACTACTTACTTCTCATATTGTGTTTGGAGAAAAATCCTTTAATAAATTATTTCGATTCACTTATTAAGCAATATTTAGTAGAAAAGTCACCTCAGAACTTATTTTTATGCACTTCATTTTCAAACTTAAGCATTATTTAACCACTTGTTTTGCAATATTAAGCTACAAATTTCAATTCAGCAAGTTCAGAATCTAATTTCTCATAACTATATAGCACTCCTTTATAAGTAAACCCAAGTGGAATTAACGATTTTCAAATAAAGGGTTCAACTTTCTATAGCAATTACTTATGTTTTATTTTCACAAAGATAATATCTCACTTTTAAGTGCTTTTTGATTGATGTTAAGATTTCGAAGATCACACTACCAGATATGTAATTACAACATCAATTCTTCTCATGCATATTAATTCCTTGCTTCAACAATCGCATACTTTAACATAGATTATATGTGGACAACTATAAGAGTTTAAAGCAGGTTTTCTTAGTGAGGAGAGCAGTTTGTGTTAAAATATTCTTCTTCACGGAACTTAAGTGCCATCATCAGCTTTAATGATCTAATAACACGTTCCGGTACCAAAAATAATTGGCTTGAGCTTCGGTTTCGGCACGGAAACTTTAATCTTGGTGTCAATGGAACAGGAACTAATTGTCTTTAAATCAGTAAATTTCTTCATTAAAAAGAGATTTTTAAAGAAAATGACATTCTTTTAATTGTGGTATAATCTTTAAGTTGACACTTTTCCTGAACATTTGCTGGCAGATCTAGAATAAAAGATTTAAATTTAAAAAACATTAAAACATTTGTAATATAAGAATGGTGAAAATATTTTAAAAATAAAATATGAAAAAAATGAATTAATATATTATGTTGCATAAACTAACGTAGCTTTACCAGTTTGTAAGTCAACGAAAGTTTCTGATCCCATTACGAGAAACAAGTTTCCCCATAAAAATACTGTATTCTCTTTTATAATTTAATTGAGAAACTTGACAGATCATTAATTATCCTTATTTTCAAAACCTTTCAAAATGGCATCGGTTTACATTTTCATACTTCTTTTGACCTACTAAAGTTTGTTTTCACAACAAATTCCTTTACTTTTAATTATATTTAGTTGCTGATTAAAAAAAAGGAATACAATGAAAATTTTAAAGACCGATAAAAGAAACAATCACAGCATAAAAACGCCGAACATATTTTTAAGTTAAAAAAAAATCACTAAATATAAATTATATAGCTTTACTGGAATACTTTTGCCAGGTTGCTAATAATATTTTTTTCCAAGCCTTGTTGAAGAAAAACCGTAATCGCATTTATATGAAGCATATTTCTTCTACGTCAGCCTACAATCATAATGTTCTGATTGTACGTTGCGTTTGAGCCCAAGAAAGCTATAAATACAGTTACTCTGATGTTTCTTTCTATTACTCCCTTCCCAGTATACGATTCAACTGTGTTACTCTTTATCTGGGTAATGTTCAAATAAATATGCCATTTTCCGATCCATTAATCTCTGAATTCCATTTTAATAGCAACTCTATTACAAGACACAAATTGTGAATGTAGTTTCTTCTTTTCAAATTGATCCAGAAACTTTGACAGAGCATCAAGTATATTTTTTTTTCAAAACTTGGATAAAAAAGAAATTGTATTTGCGGTGCTATTCATAAACATTTGATCTAGAAACTTTAACAGAGCATCAAAAATTGTTTTCAAGACCTGTATTTGAAAATTAATAATGTCCATGTAATCATTATATTATCAATATTTGGAATTTATGTTTATGAACTTATTTTGGAATATCGAATTTTTATTATTTCATCATCACCTGTTTAATTTTATTTACTTTCCTTAGCTGTAATTCTTTGCACCAAGTAAATTAAATTTTCAAATGCTTGAAATTTGTCTCTTAAAAATATCCTCATATTTCATAAATGAAATTAAATACTTAATATAATACAATATCATAAACAGAAGCAGATGAACCAGATTGATATTTAAAGCTTTTGTAAAACATATTAAGTTTCTTTCTTCTTATCTGTTTTAGAAAGTTGTCAACATATTTATTGTTATAACTTTCAAAACTTGCCAAAATTATCCCTGTTCATGCATTATTTATAAACAGTTGAAATTTATTTCTTTATAAACTTTAAATTTTTTTTAATGGTGGGCACTTGGGGATTGTCCCATTGACCACAGGAATGCCAAAATTGCTACTCTTTTCTCGTTACCCAGTGGGCACCTGTGGCGAAGTCACGGCGGTGGAGCAGCGTCGCCCACGTCACACAACCACAAGCCCGTTTATAGGGCTGGTCACATTCACACAAAGGAGAAAGAACATAGAACACACCGAGAGAGAAAGAAACATCCATGCCCTGAGCAGGATTCGAACCCGTGGCCAATGGCTCCGCAGTCAGACACGCTAATCACTCGGCCACCTGGTCAGCATAAACTTTAAATTCATTTTGGAATACTGAATTTCAAATCATTCAAAAAATTTAATTTTATTTAATTTTTTTAAATATAGTCATGCTGTGAAAAAAATTCAAAACTATACTTATTCTTATTTTAATAAAGATTTCGCAGATAATATAATTTAAAAAAACTTACATGGTTTAAATAAGAAAACAACACAATCCATTTGAACTTGTATTTTCTTTCACCATATTGTTATTTACATAGCTTTCATTTTTAAGATAAATACTCGATATTAAAAAGCCAACATAGTTCTTCATGTTGTAAACCTCAATAAAAGTAACACAAAAAAGCATTTTTATTTCCTTTTAGCAGATTCTAATATAGATTTGAAATGTCATGGAAAAAAATTTATAATAAAATTACATAAATTTGTGATTTAGAATGACAGTATTTTATTCTAATAGCTGTCATTTATTTCGAATCGAAAGTAAAATAATAATGATCTTAAAATGAAATAGCTTCGTCAGAATGAGTGATGATCTTTCTTTTTACTTTATGATTTGTCTTTCTTTATGAAAAAAATCGGATAAAAAATAAATATACAAAATTAGAGTAATCGATACTGGAGGCGAGCAACGGTTTTGATTTGTTCCTCTAAATTTGGATTCAGCTGACAGATTATGAGTCTTCTTTTTTGAGGAGTAATTTATTTATTGATTTTCTTTTTATTTATTGAACAGATTGATATTAATGTTGGATTTAATGGTACGAAAACCGAAAAAAGACAAGTTACATTTGTTTAATAATTTTAAAACAGGTCATTTATCAGATTTTAAATTAAATCAAGAAAATAATGCTTTATAATAGAGTACAGTGTAATTTTATCTGAAAATATTATTCAATTGAATTGGAACGAAATCAACTTCATTTCAATGATGAACCTTCAATGAACCTTCAATTACTTCATGAACCTTCAATTTGAATTGAAACGAATCGAATTGGTGTTTAATAGCATAAATAGTATGCTTTATTTATTCACTAATATTAAATCAAAACTGGCAAAAGAAGTTTAAAATTCTAGATGAAAGTTCTGTTAATTTTTTAACAGCTCAAAAACAAAAGAAAACAATATGACTTAATTCTAAAACAATATCCGATACCTCCAATTAAGGTGAGATTTTATTGCAATGAATGTTCCTTTAAATCCTTAAAGTCTAAAACAAAATGAAATTATTTACTTATTAACTTTGAATCAAAACCGGCAAAAGAAGTTCAATAAACGTCTATACATGAGTTAATAAGTTCAGATAATTTTGGAATAATTCGGAGGCAAAAGTTTGAGAGAAGACGATATGACTTAATCCTAAAACAATAACCGATGCCTCTAATTTGAGGTGTCGACATTTATTGAATTAAATGTGGTCTTTAACACCTCGAAATCTAAGAAAGGGCATGCTTTATTTGTTGTTAATTTTAAATAAAAACTGGTTAGTTCACTCTTTTAACATTTCTTGCTCTTGTTCTAGAATGGCTCAGTATAGCCATTCCTGGCTGACACTGCGAAAGTCATTTGGTTGCAGTATTAAATACTTTTAATTAACAAATCTAGATATATTGTTTTGATAAATTCTGTAAGATTTTGATGTTATAGTTAACAAGTTGTTATAGTAAAGTTCAACAACAGCTGGCTCTAATAACTACCGTTTGCAGCAACTACAAGGAGGAACCATATGACAAAACTCCCGAGAAATATTTTGACTGGAGTGCTCCGACATGCAACAAAAAACTAGTCTTTCCTGTCAGCTTAGCGAATTTTCGTTAAGTTTTAAATTTTTATCCAACAAAATCAAGTTGTTTGATGTGTAATAATCAGCAAACAACAATTCTCTCGCCGGGATAAACTGGTTCGTAGGGCACTAGGACCATGTTCAAGAAATCGTGGGTTCGATCCCCACCGGCCAAAGACTCCCCTTGTAAATGGTGACTGGTGCACGTTAAATCTGTCCGGTTACAAAGTCCTCCATGTTCCCATAACAAATCATTCCTTTGGTGATACTGATCCAGAAGTTTCTTTGTCTTCTAGATTAGGTTCAAAATTACAGGACCACGGAGTTAAACATTGGTAGTCGTAAACCCAAAATTGGGTCGGTTGTTTAATGACGGTAAAAAAAATCCTCACTCCTTGAGCCGTAGTAGCTCAGAGGATAGAGTGTTTGGATTCCTATGATGTGAACCGAGTTCGAATCCCAGCAATGGCTGGTCGATAGGAGTCCCTCACCGACCACATTGCTGACGTAAAATATCCTCAGTGGTAGACGGATCATGAGTTAAAGTCCCCTTGCTAACTGTGGGAGATTTGCTGGGTTTTCATCTCCATGTAATGCAAATGCGGTTAGTACCATCAAAAAGTCCATCACGAAGGCAAATTTCTCCTAATACTTGATCCAGGAGTTCCCTTGTCTTCTGGATTGGGTGCAAAATTACAAGGCTACGGAACTGGACAGAGCCGTAAACTTAAAATTGGGTCAGCCATTCAACGATTGTTATAAAATATAAAATGAAATAAAATTCTCTCTCCTTTTATTTTCTTCTTAATTATTTCAAATTGTTAGTCATTTTCGAGGCATCCTGTTTATTCGCTAGAAAATTTCTTATTTTTAAATAAGGACATATTGCTTTTCTTTAATTACTTACTTAAAATACTTTCAGTGTTTTTTTAAGGGTTAAAAATAAAACCTGCTTATTTTTCCTTCCTTAGACTATACGAAGGAAACAAATAAAGTATTTATAATAAACCCTTTTGCCGTCCAGTTGTGTCATTGTGTCAAGGCATTTCTATTATTTCCCCTTACTCTCTGTTGATTTAATAACCTCAATGGGAGGTTCGCATATGTCAGTACTTGTTACATAACTGGACAGAAAAAGGAAAGCAACAACTAGGAAAGAAAAACTAACACAACTGGGAAAACAAAAGCTCAAAAGTCGATTTGTAGTTACATGAAAGAAAAGATGATTTTCATGAATTTATTAATTTCAAATTCGACACTTATATTTCTTATTTATAATTTTAAGTATATTCCGAAAAGAAATTAAGGTTTTTTTTTTAAAAAATTTTACTAAGCTTTTAAGATTTAAGTTTTATCAAAAAGTGATGAAATAAAATAAAAACTTTTATTGCTAGTTTCTGTTTTAAATATAATATTTATTTTTTTACGAAAAAATCGTTCAAATTATTGTAATAATTAAAAAATATATAATGCATATGTAATCTTACATATGATTTCAGTTTCTCATAAAAATAATGGTTACGCAACGCTTTTTGAAAATTACATTTTAATCAAAC